TGGACAGAAGTTTCCTGAATTTGACTTAGCTCTAAAGAAAAATTTCTGATGGGAAGAATGTTAAGAATTAGAAGTAGGTTATCAATAGAATTCATGAATTTTGATTCATTGGAGATTGCAGCAGGCAGAATTCTAAGAGGACCCTCTCCCTTGGCTTACTCCCACGATTATGTTATATTACTGGGCAAAAGAGATTTGGCAAATGTAATTAAGATCACTAATCAGTTCACTTTAAGATAGGATGATAAACCTGGTGGGCCTAACCTAATCAAATGAGCCTTTTAAAAGCACCAAGTTTTCTCTAGCTGGTAGCACAAGAAGTCATAGAGATTTGAAGCATAAGAAGGATTCTATGTGACAGAGGTTAACCATTGCTAAAAAGGAGAGTTCACAGGCAAGGAACTGAGAATGGCCTCTAGGAGCGGTCTCTGGCCATCAACCAGCAAGAAAATGGGGGTCCCAGTCCTACAACTGCAAGGAACTGAATTCTGCCAGCAATTTAAATGAGCCTGGAGGCAGATTCTTCCCCAGAGGCTCCAGATAAGAGCTCAGCCCAGTGGCCACATAGACTTCAGCCTTGGGAGACTGTAGGCAGAGAACCCAGCTGAGCTCACATGGACTTCTGACCCACAGAACTGTGAGATCATAAATGTGTGTTGTTCTAAGCCAGCAAGTTTGTGGTAATTTGTTACATACCAATAGAAAACTGATACAAAGATCTTTAAAAACTGTATTATAGTGATCTCTGAAAAGAATGTTAGAATTTCATTTCTGTGTGTCTATTAGGTTATTTTGCCATATCTTAGAAAGGAAGGCAATGATGACTTATTTCACTTTCTACTGTGGCGATTCTTATCCTGGCAAACTCTCTCACAGGAAGTATTTAGTCCCCTTCTGCCTACTTTCTAAGTATTCTACAAGACCACATAAACCAAAAAATAGATAAGCCCAGAGAATGTAAGGCGTCGCACCAGACCTTGGCCCCGCATCTTGCCCTCATTTGTCACCATCCCTTAACTCTGCAGAAGAGATTGGCTACTTCACCAACTGATGAAAGCAATATGGTCACCTTTTCATGAAAAATAAATGTCTATGCCAACAAATCACTCTCTCCCAGCTGCAGATGATAAGACGGCTTCTTTGCCTTGATACTTGCCTACCTTTGACCAACAAGCACAGACATTTGATTATACACAAGACAACCTAACATTCTCCGCTCTCCCCATGACCAACCCTTCACCTGTTGTCTAATTACTTTCAAATTTTATCTCTTTAAAATGCACAAAGAATAAAAGGAAATAATACCACAAATTATTACATTCAGTGTATTTGATTTAAAATGTCAGAAGAAACAAAGGTTATCAGAATGAACCAACTGCTGTAACAATCCCAAAATCTTGGTAACAACATCAGCAAAGTTTCTTTGTTGCTCCTGTCACAATTTGGCCCAGACTGAAAGAGGAGGAGTGTGCTCTGCTCTACCAAGTTTCTCAGAGACACAGGCCCCCTCTATGTAGTGACTCCACCATCTTGTACGGTCTCAGAGTCCTCCTCTGGATCTTCTGCAATTGGTCAGACTCTGAGGAAAAAGAGAAATCATGTAGAAGATAGAAGAAGAGAAAGTCCACTGTTAATGACTTGGGCTCAGACATGATGCACATCACTTCTGTTCACATTCCACTGGCAAGAAATAGCCATATGGCCCCATCTACATACAAAGAAGCTAGACATTATAGCCTGGCAGTGTGCCCCAGAAAAGTAAGCATGGAAATTGATGAGTCCTAGCACTATATCTCTCACAATAGGATAAGATGAAATCTGTGAGCGATCCATAAATTTTGGTTTATCTGTGTTAGCAATTCACCTTTATCAAGGATTTGGAAATATGTAGTTCCAGTTACTATTGCTGCATAACAGAACACCCCTAAACTTAGTGGCATAAAACAACCATTTTATTAAGCTCATGGATTCTATGGGTGTCAAATTCAGAAAAGACACAAAGGGGATAACTTCTTTTTGCTTCATGATATTGTGTAGGGTCTCAGCGGAGGGTGATTCAACAGCTAGAGGCTGGAATCATTTAGAGGAATCTTCTTTTACACATCTGGTAATTGATGCTGGCTGTTCATTAAAACAACTGATCCGAGCACCTACACATGGCCTCTCGTGTGGTCTGGACTTTCTCACAATGGGGTAGCCTCAAGGAGTCAGATTTCTTACACAGCAGCTCAAAATTGCAAAAATGAAAGCCTCAATGGACAGGCAGAAGCTATGTTCCTTTTATAACCTTGCCTCAGTCATTTCTGCTGTACTCTACTGGTCTAAGAATTCACAAGCCCACCCAAATTCAAGGAGAGGGGACATAGACCCACATCTCAGTGAGAGACTACCAAGATCACATTGTAGAGGAGCATGTGCAATAAGAGATTTGTGGTATGCAATTTTGGAAAATACAATCTCCCACATATATTATCTTAGAATCACTGTATTTCAATGTTTGAAAGGATTTTATACCTTATAGAACAGGGACTAGCAAACTGTGGCCCAAGGCTTGTTTTTGTTAACAAAGTTTTATTGAAATACAGCCTTGCCTTTTCCTGAGAGAGTTGCATAGTTGCAAGAGAGACCAACCATATGACCTGCAAAGCCTAAAGAATTTATTATCCCACCCTTTACAGACAAAGTTTGCTGACTCTGTAGATAGAATGCTGATTAAGCATGTAAGCACTGATGTTAGACTACTAGGATTCAAATCTCCATTCTGGAGGTGGCCAGTTATGTGGCTTTGGGCAAGTTCTCAGCCTTTCTAGACTGCCATTTCTCACCTATATAAGTGGAGAAATAGTAAAATTTGTCATTGAGTTGTGAGCATTAAATGAAAAAGGGCATAGTAAGCATTCATAAATACTAACTCATTATTAGAATTACCTTAAAACATTATCTAGATCAACTGTCCATCTGAAGTTATATGCTTGTCTCCAAAGTGTGATCTACTGCAGATTTCAACACACCTAGTAACACATGAAGCCCATTTCATCGTTAATCATTCTGTCCATTAGAAAAATTTCCTTCCACTGAGTTGAAATCTGTCTGTTTTTAGCTCTGTCCTATTAATCCTTTCTAGCTCCTTGAGGTTCTACAGAACATCTCTTCCAAATGTTAGATTCTGAAAATACTCGAAAAAGGTTTCTCTGAATTTTATCGTATCAAGACTACACATCTTTCAATTGTTTCTCCTAAGACACAGTTTGCATCCTTTTCCCACTTTGGTAATTCTCTTTAGAAGGGAATATAAAGCATTTGCCTAGAAATTAGCAGAAGACTTCAGGCAGATAGATCAGGACTGTTACTCCCTAAACTCTCCACATTAAGCTGGTGACATGTTTTGAGTTACTCAGTCTTTCTTCCACTTCATCCTGCTTAAAGAGTTGATTTTTTTAGATCATGGGACAAGTCTTTATATTTACCCTTTTTATGTTTAGTCTTATAAAGCTCCAGCCTCTCAAGATCTTTCCAGATGTTGGTACTGTAGTTTAGAATGTTCACTGCCCGTCCCAGCTTTACATCATCAGACATACTTCTGGATGTCTTGATCTAAAACATTAATAAATATCCCATCAAGTTAAAATTGATACCATGAGAGGTCCTGAACTCATTTTGAGCAACTGAGTGTTGTTTTAATAATTGACTTGGCTTCCCCTTGGGCTTCCTCTTTCTCTCTTTCAATATTTCAACATTACACTTTAAAACAGCTGTGTATCTGTATTAGTCAGGGTTCTCCAGTGAAACAGAACCAACAGGAAATGTATATATAAAGAAAGAGAGACTTATTTTAAGAAAATGGCTTACATGATTGAGGAGACTTGGTAAGTCCAAAATCTGCAAAGTAGGTCAGCAGGCTGAAGACCCAGGGAAGAGTTGCAGTTCAAGTCCAAGTTAGTCAGCTGGCAGAATTCCTTCTTGCTTGGGGGAGGTCAGTCTTTTTTCAATTACAGCCTTCAACTGATTGGATGAGTTCCATCAACATTATGGAAGGTAATCTGTTTTACTCAAACCCAACCAATTTAAATGTTAATCTCATCTAAAAACACCCTCATGGAAACATCCAGAGTAATGTTTCACCAAACAGCTGGGCACTGTGATGCAACCAAGTTGACACATAAAACTAACCATTATAGTATATAATTCTTTTTAAACTTTTTCTTGCAATGAAAATAGCTAGAAATCTAGCATGTCTGAAGACTGGATTTATGTTCTGATAATTAGTCCTTTTATAGTAAGTAGTTTGTTATATAAAACCACAATTAAGTGTGTCTCTCTGAGTGGGTAGTCATGTAAAATATAACCAATTAATTTTTTGCTACTATATATAAGTACAGCATCTTAACACATACATTGAGTTTAATATTTCCTGTGTCCACATCACTAACTAATTATTTTCTGTACCTAAGAAAAGATAGGGGGTAGGGAGAAATTAGAATGCAACGAAGATTTTTAAGATGAGCTCTACTGCAAGTTTCAGAATCTGGATGGAATTTAAAGTATGGATATATCTGTGTTCCTTAATTCATTTGCTTGTTTTAGAAATTCTACTTTTTATGTCTTAAAATTTTTAATTGACATTTAAATTCCAATGTTATTTCTTCAAATGATTTCACAACAAGATTGTCAAAACAAATATCTCTATAAATAAGATATCTAAGCATTAAATGCCAGTTCAATACAATATTTGTGATAAAATTCTACTAGAACAAAAAACATTCCAACATGTTGTCTAGCAAAATTAGATTTTACTGAACTAGTATTTTGGTTCTATACTTTTATGAATGTAGATTTAAAAAATGTGGTTTTCCTTCTTGGTTAGCCATTTATAATAAATAGAAATTCTTGATTTAGAGTCTTAAAGAGATTTTAAGATTTTTTTGGATCTTGCTAATAATTCCTTTTTTGTATGAAATTTACTGTTCTCTTTGTTATACTTTTAAATTTCTTCTCTTTAGGTCTGGATGTGTGGAGGAGAAATGTTTGATGTTCCATGTTCTAGAGTTGGTCATATCTACAGGAAGTATGTCCCTTATAAAGTTCCATCGGGGACCAGCCTGGCAAGAGTGAGTAACTGGGGATCAGAAGAAGTTGGGCTTGATCTGGCTTTCTGTAGGCAGAGTGAGGAGCCTCACACGTGGTATAATTTAAGGCACAGTCTGGCAGAAACGCCTGACCAAAATTAAAACTCCACCACTTGCCATGCCATTTAGCAGTCTTTAGTATAGAGAGAGTATAGAGTTTCTGTGTTTCTCAAGAGTTTTATTTCCATTCCTTAAGGAAATATTAACTATTATGCTAATTCTTAATTGTTTCACATACATTCTGTTTAATTTTCACCACTACATTCTGAGATTGGTATTCTTATCTTTATTTTGTAGATGAGAAAACCTAGGCTTAGCAATGTAGTGTGCTCATGCTCACATGGATGATAAACAGCAGAGTAGGAGTTTAAGCCCAGGTCTTTGGAATGGACATCCAGTACTTTCCTCCCACATGGAGTGTAACAGCATACATAACAAGTCAGATGGAGAAAGGGGTAAACAGGAGACAGGGGTGGGAAGTTGTGGGGTGGATGGTGGGGCGGGTGGATGCCCAAACTCTACCTTCTTCTAGTTTATAACTAGGGCCAGCTCTGCCTAAAATTTTACCCCATCCTCAAAATTCCAAAATTGGCCAACTCAAGATTTTTTCAGATATTGTTTTGAATAAAACCTTTTACTTAGACGAAATGCAAGGATGCTTTTCTCTTCTGCTCTTTAGAATTTTTTCATACATGTATGGGAGAATATAGTCACAATATCTTCTCAAAACAATCCTGACAGTTTCTCTGTTTTCCATGTTACTTTCTTCATAGCTGGGTTAGTTTTATTCACCACAATATGTACCTGCTACTACTCAGTACAAATCCAGAAGAAGGATGTTTTAGCACATCCCTTTGCACAACGCTCCTGTAGGAATCTAATCCTAAATTATTCATTTTGGTTCTTCTACGAGTACAGCTGTAATATATAACTATTTGAGTTTTTTATATAAAGCTCAATTAACTCATATAATAAATTTTTTAAAAATATAAACTAGTTCATCAGGATTCATTGGAATATCAATCCCACAAAGACAGAGCTTTCTCTGTTTTATTTGCTATTCTACTCCCAGCATCTAGAATAAGGCCTGGTAGGCACTCAACAAATATTTGTTGAAAGAATTAATTAATCAAGAAAAACTAAGACAAGAAAATGCTGTGGGTTTAAGGTCTTACTAAAACTTAAACATTTTAATGGCATATAGTAAAATTTTCATTTATAGTGAGTCTTTTTGGGGGAAGGAAGATTTTTCCTTATTCTCTTTCTGATATTATTTGTCAACAGTGTCCACACCCAAAATCTCTTTTACAGCAGTTTGAGCTGATAGTAATGAAGTTACATTACATACACCTTGAAGGGAAATAGTAATATTATTCCTCCTTCCTCAAAAGATTAAGCAGACATCAATAACATACTCCATTAAGCAGCTGTAGAAATACACTATTTGAAGAAAAGAAACCAATCACAAAATCGTAAAGTGATTAAAGAGCTGCATCTTGGGTAATAAAATATGATTTAATTTAGTCTTAAGACTTAATACATATGAATCTGAAAACTCATTCAGGAAAACAACAAGAATTCACAAAAAGGTAAACAACTGAACAGTTTTCAGCCCATATCACAAATTGGCCATGTGGGTATCATAAATCACAGCAGTTTAAAATATCCAAAAGATAATGATGTTCTGTCACTTATCTCTTTCACTCACTCATATGGTCCCCAGCTTGTGCCCCAAACTGAATCACTCGTTTGCAAGTATGTGTTTGCTTTGTGTCAAAAGTAGACTGTTTAGCTGGGGTGAATGCTGTGCTGATCCAAAAGAGTTTATTTTCAAAAAATAAAACTCTTCATATATTTTCAAGAAAGAAATTAAGTACTTTTTCAAAGACTGTCAAATATAGGGAAACTAGGGCTGGCACATAAAATTTCTGGCAAAAAGTGAATATTCATTCAAATGAGAAAAGTCCATAATTCTGAATTTAAATCTTTTCCACTTAAATTTACTTGAGGGCTCATTTTTATTTTTTTTCTGAACTGCTAGAGCAATCAGAAGTCATAAATATTGAAGCTCAGCTGTCACTCTAAGGAACATTTTATGATCTTTTAAGTAAAAAAAGTATATTAAAATGAAAAACAATTCTGATATTTTGTGGGAGAATCTCAACTACCTTCTACACTCTACATTATTACTAAATCATCAAAAATGATGAGAGACTTGAACGATGCTTCAAATGCAGGGCCACGTCTACTCAATAGGGAGTTTATCTCTCCAGCCTCATTAGGAAACAGAGAGGAAGATGGAGACTTGACTCCAAAGGCTTGTTTTCTTATTTTACAAAGCTTGTTTAATTCTTCAAAAATGTGCACCTTTCATCTATGTACCTATGTAAATTGAGGATTCCAGCAGACTTCCAAAACACATACGCACACACACACACACACACACACACACACACAAATGTGTGAACAGCCTGCAGTTCTCTAAGCAGCATACCGGTGTGTGTCATAGAAATAAATTCAAATAATTATTCAGTACCTTCTATTTACCTAGCATTACAATCTGATTGGAAGAGACAAGATATCCACATATAAAACCATTAGATGACAATACAAGACAACAAATAATTGTTCAACTGTATCCTAAAAATATGTACAGATAGAGGGAAGAGGAAGAGAGCAGGTAGATAGCTGTGACCTTCTCCAGTCCTCTCAAGTTAAAAAAAATTGAGGGCCGGCCCCGTGGCTTAGCGGTTAAGTGCTTGTGCTCTACTACTGGCGGCCCGGGTTCGGATCCCGGGCGCACACCAATGCACCGCTTCTCCGGCCATGCTGAGGCCGCATCCCACATACAGCAACTAGCAGGATGTGCAACTATGACTGTAACTATCTACTGGGGCTTTGGGGGGAAAAAAAAAGGAGGAGGATTAGCAGTAGATGTTAGCTCAGAGCCAGTCTTCCTCAGCAAAAAAAAAAAAAAAATTGAAAGAAGACCTTCAAGGATTCCTCAGTTAAATTAACAAGGTTCATAGAATAGTGGTTCCCAAACTCAGGACCAGTGACCAGAGCCATTCCTGGCCAAGTCTTCACCCAGTTAGATCTGTGAACTGGGAAAAAGAAGAATTACAAAGCTAAATATGTTCAATTTTAAATATCTTTTTAATGCAACAATTATAGGCTTTTTTTCTTTTTTATGACAGGATACAAGGTAGGAGACTTTTGTTAATGCCCTTATTTGGCAAAAATAAAAATTAACAACCCTATGTTAGTTCCCACAAAATGCAAAAATCTGGGACACTGTGACTTACAGTTCAGCTTCATCTGGGAATCAGAGTATTCACTTGTCATCAATAAAACTAGATATTTCACTGAGTCGGCTCAGGGTCCAAATCAGCACACTGGGCACATTGTGGTGTCTTTTCACCAGGAACAGCCAGTCCCTGAGGGAAGTGATGCTCATCCCTAGAATTTTAGGGAAACTGGAAAGGCCCCAGGGCTGTAGTGACATTCCTCCCTTCTCTGGGATGGCACTGACTGTCTTTCATCACAGAAAAGTGATGGAAGGAGAATAGCAGCTCCTTAGTGAAAGGCCCACTGAGCCATTTGCTGAGTGACACTTTGCACAGCCAAAGGTGGCTGAGCAGCAGATGAGAGGAAGACTCTCCAAGAAAATTCTTCATTCTGACAGGTTGTGACACGAGCCAAGCTCTCTGCTGAAAGAGCAGCAAGTACTAGCACCTCACGGACTCCCCTGTGAATGCCAGTGCATTTGGGGACAGTCAAAGCCACCAGACCTGAGACAGGTGATTCTAACAGCAGGGACATGACAGAGGTGCAGAGCAGTCACCCCATGGCTAAACACACCAGCTGACTGAAGCACAACAGTAGTCCCCAAGGGAGCAACTTGGTCCCATGGGAGTTCCCCCAGGAGGACCCCAAGCCAATAAACGGCAGCCCTGCAGACTGTGGGTGGGGCAGTCCTGGAGGCTCACTCAGACTGCATAGAAGGAAAAGTTGGATCTGACCCTCACTCTAAGTCTGTAAGGGACCGCCAGAGAATGCAAATCAGAGGATTGTATCCTTCTGACATAATATCGCTAACTTTTCCTTTTCTAAAATTCATCTTGCATTTTATGGCAACCATTATCCAAATTTCAGGGTAGGATCTACAAAAACAAAGAAGTTAAATCCTCATAATAATCCGATTTCACAGGAGGGCCTATCATACTTGAAAATGTAACACGTTAAAAGGAATAGAGGTTAAATGTCAAGTGAGTAGAGCTGGGATTGTGAATCGAGGCCTGTCTGTCCAAGGCTTAACTCTCCTATCAACTGCCACTTATCGGAGGGCTTGGAATAAACAGGGGCAGTCATGGCAGGAGCTCCAACATGAGCAAAATACCAAGCAGGAAGGAGCGGGCACAGAGAGTGACAAAGGACTGTGTTTAGGACCCCTGGAGTTAAACCGGCAATGTGCACTGGAGACAGACTGGAAGACCCTGTGTGCAGACCAGTGTGTATACCTTTTTCTTACAGACTATAGGGAGGTACTCATGGTTTTTGAAAGAAAGTTCCAGAATAAAAATAGAAAGGGTAACATGGAAAGATCAACCAACAAGTAAATATTAAAGGGGAGAAAGACTAAAGAAAGTAATATTTGGAATGCAAGAAGCATTTGTAAAGAAAATCTCCTAAAAGATTTTTATTGATTTGTCACACTGTACAAGGAGAAGGAGGTCAAATGTGTCTATGAGGTTTTCATCATGGCATCTGAGAGAAAATAGTAACAGTACAAAAATAAGGACGGGAGGAAGGGGAAAAGGGAAGATGGTGGAACTGGTTTTAGATAAGGTGGGTTATAAGTGACAGCTTTACACGGGCTCAGAGAGAGCCAGATCTGGGAGACATGCACAGACTTCCCATCCAGAATTCTGAGAGCCTACAAAGACTTTTGCCAACTTTTCTTTACCAGTAAATTTTCATTT